TCAATTTGGGATTCAATTTGATTTGCTCAAATTAACCCAATTAAATTTAAATAAACTGATGACTCAAATCATAACAAACTCAATGCGGCTAAGGTGGACTAATTGAAATTAATCGAACATGGTCAAGTATAATTCGACTTAATACGAGCTGATTCGAGCTCAAATTAGACTTGACGGGGCTTAATTAAATCAATCAAAGGCCCTCGAGGGCACTAGAACGAAAATCAAGGTCAATAGTTAACACATGCTTATAACTCTTTAAATCACATTTCTAAATCAAGATGTAATATTTTCAAATACTTATGTGTTTCAAGTAAAATAGAATATTTCTTATTCAATTCATCAAACTCATCCAATAAAGTCATATGATCCTAATCAAAATCAAAACCATTTTTTCTAAGGATTTCATTTTTTTCAGAACTGGTCATTTAATTTTCAAGCTAGCATGTTTATTTTTTAGTTTCTTATAAGAATCATAAATTTATTCTGAAACAACATGGAATTCATTGTATAAATGTTGACATACTTCATCTTGATCAGACTGATCAAGAAAGTTGTTTGTTATTAAGCACAAAATTTTCACTTCCTCTTTTGCTTTTGTTCTAGATGAATCTGAAGCAGAATCTGCTAAGAAAGCTTTGTAAGATTTTTACTTGTCCCAACATTCTCCTTGCTTTGGTAGCCTTTAAGAGTTGGGCAATAAGTTTTAATGATCCCTAATTTCCTGCTTTCATAATAGACAATATCATCAGAAGCTTTAAAATTTCTATAATTCTTATCTTTGCTCCACTACTGATGAGGCTTTTGCCTTTTCCTTAGAAAGTTTCTGAACTATCGAGTCATCAGTGCAATTTCTTCCTCTCCTTTATTAGAGAAACTATTTGAATCATTAGCCTTAATGGCTATAATTTTCTCCTTCTTTCTTTCTTCTGCATCATGAAGTCTTTGATACACTCCTTGCTCATAGGCAATGAGTGATCCAAGTAAATTATCAATATAATAAACATTCAAATCCTTAAATTCAATAATATCAATAATTTTTACATCGTAGGAAGAAGGTAAATAATTGAGATTCTTATTTACTTTTTTTAGATTTTGATAATTCCTTTCCTAAAGCATGCAGGGATGTGATGATTTGTATAAACCTAGTATATATTTCAAATATGGATTCCCTAGGTTTTATGTGAAAGAGTTCATATTCATGCATCAAAAAATTTAACTTAGATTATTTCGCTTTACTTATTGCTTCATAAGTAATGTATAATCTATACTAAATTTGTTTGTTAGTAATATATGTAGGTACACACATATAATTTTCAGATTTTAAAGTATAAAAGAAATAATTTATAAATCTAGCATTTAGTTGGGCTAAATCTTTATCATCAATAGTCCCATTTAGAAAAAGAAATTTTAGTTTTAATACTATTTACTAAACGTGAAGGAGCAGAATAACCATCCCGAATAAGCATTCATATGTGATAATCAATTAATTGTAAAAAGGTGGACATGTGTATTTTTTAAAAAATCAAAAGGTATATTCTCAAATAGAGGTGGTCGAGTAGTTTAATAGCCTTTCACAGAGTTACGATTACCAAAGTTATACATGGATCTTAATTCAAAAATGTTCAAAACCTTGATCTTATAAATCATGTTCTAATACCACTTGAAAGTTTGTGAAGGTTGTTAAGCCCTAAGAACTAGTTCTGAGGCTAACCAGAGGGGAGTGAATTAGTTATTTTTAAAATTTCTTTAATAAATGAAAAGTTAAAATCCCTTGATGCGAAGTAGAACTAACTTTACAATAATAAAATCAGATATTTCAATCACAAATCAAATCACAAAAAATACCAAAATTAAAATATGAAAAAAATAGAAAGAACACACCAAAATTTATAATTATTCTGTCAACTTGACCTACGTCCACTCCTTGGAGACTCCCTCTCTAAGTATTACACTAAATAATAGTGACTCTACTTTTGCTTCCATAGGAAGGTAGAGAAGCTTGTACAAATATTATTTCACCTCCACAATATTGCAGAGAATCATGACTCTTTTATAGGAAGAGAACCTCAAATTTATTTTCACATCCTGGTGATGGTCAGAGAATCATAACTCTATTTTTATCCTCCAAGTGATGGTCAGAGAACCTCGAACTTTGTTGAAGATCTTCTTTTCCAGAGCCATAATGATTTCAAGCAGATGCTTATAGGTATTAAGCAAGAATCTTTCTAGGAGCAACCTTGTGAATCCCTTCAATATTCTCTCTCATAAAATCTCCCTCTCTTTTCTCACCAATCTCTCCTTCTCTCCCTCAATCTCTCTCAAGAAGACTAAGTAGAAAAAGACGTCTCAAAATTATATTTAAAACCCTTAAATAGCGTGCTTGAAAAAACCATAAATTTCAAGCCATCCTACTTTTATTCGTACAGTACGATGCACGTATCGTACGGTATGATCAGTTCAATTCAGACTCATCCAACAAGATTGTTCAGATGAACTGTTCAACTTTTATAATATATCATATTGTACGATCAAATATCATAGGGTACAATCTTTAGAAATTTCTTTTGTTTATTTGGGATGATCATTGGGACGACTAACTTCATACATGGGTGATCTTCCAGCACATTGGACATCGTATGGTTCGATCAATACAAAAATCATGGATTTCATTTAGTACAATCCAAGGGTAATCATATAGTATGAACTATTTTGTACTGGATGATCAGTCACAATAATTGTCCATGATTTAATTGCATGATATCATGGGATTAATTAGAAAAAGATTTTAATTAGGGCATACAAATAGATTCAAATCGTATTGTATGATCAGTACAAAATATGTATCTTTCTTAGCTTTGGCTATTAGGGTTTTGATAGAGCGTAACTGTACAATATGAATTATAATTGTATAGTACAAAATACTTCGTACAGTAATACATTAATAATTACTTAAAAAAATAACTCTATTAATTTTTTTTTCTTTTTTTCCTGTTTGTGTGTAAGGTTGCTTAGCAAAGATATCCACCCAATTACATGATATGACTTAAGAAAGAAAAAAACGTAATAAATTAAAAATTGCAGACTATAACCCTAGTATACCAAGTCTTGATGAGCTGATTAGAATTGCAAGTGAGTGGACTTAATTCCCAAAATGTTAGTACACACATCACAAAATTAAATATTATAGAAATAAGAGAAAGATATAAAAAACATAATAATATTTGTTATCATCAAAATCACAATGCTTGAATTACATTTGCAATAGTTTTTATCATTAGTGCTTGCATATGAATTTCTACCTTCTTCTTTTGATTTATGATACCATGGATTTGTTTTAGAATGAAAGGCATTTTCTATAAAGACTTTATTTTGCATATTCAATTTTTTCGCATGTTCTTCAAGAGTGATAATTAACTATGTTGGTGATAAGACTTCTATATCTTTTGATTCTTTGATTGCATAAATTATTGTATCCAACTTTTTTGCACAAGAAATTAGTTTCTTCTTAACTATTTTCTTATAAGAAATTGTACCACCATAGGCTCTCATTTTGTTAAATATTTATTTTAATCTAGAGAAATAGTCTTTTTCGATCTCATTTTCATTCATTTTGATATTCCAAAAACTCATTTTAGATTATGCAGCTTGATGGCATGTACCTTCTTAGTTCCTTGAAACTCATCATATAATGTATCCCATGCTTGTTTAACAGTCATTGCGCCCATGATTAATGGAAAGATGTTGTCTGTAATTGCTTGTTGTAAGGAAAATATTGCTTGAGAATTCTTTTGTTGATTCTCTTTAAACATCTTTTGTTAATTTTTTGAAAGACTCGTCGTATCAACAACAGTATTGAATCCTTCTTCAAAGATCTTCCACAAATTTAGGGAATGAAAAAAATGTTATCATTTTGATTGGTCAAAAATCATAATTTTGTCCATTTAAGATTGTAATGGGTACGATAGAGCAGTTGGAGTTTTCCATTAGATTTTAGACAAGATTTTTATAAAGCCCAATTAGTGAGAGAAATATTTTGGAAGAAAGGTAGATAGGGATGCAAGCAATGGGCTCTAGAGATTTTGGATGGTAGAATAGAAGAACAAATTTATTATTAAACTTTTGCTTAGTTGTTTTCAGCATAACTTATAACATCATGACATTAACTATTTATAAGTATGAAAGCTAAATCTAAACACTTCTATAATATAGCAATTCGAGAGTTTTCTCTATTTATTATAAATATCATGGATTCTTCTACTACTCTAGAGTTTTCTCTAATAATATAGCAATTTGAACTTTAGAGTCTTCTACATTGGACAATATTTTATTATATATATAATACTTTAAAAATGTTGAGAAATAAACATCAAATTTTATCAGTTTGATCTTCACCCTGAAGAAATCTAATACGTTTTCAAAAATCTTCTACATTGGACAATTTTTAGTAATTTCGTTGTTGATCTTCTACACAAGAAGAAGAATGCAATAAAAATGTTGTGGCTTAATGGATGGTCGGCATCTCCAATGGATTGCTTTCGACCGTAGTTCACCTTTCGGAAACCAAAATTAATGTGTCACATCAGCGGTACCGTGCCAGGTACCGAGAGATACCAAGCAGTACCGAGCTGGGAACCGAGCAGGGGGTGATGTCAGGCATTCTAGTTGGTTTCCGAAGAACTTATAGTGTCCGCACGGAATAATTTTACCATCACTCAGGATTTTGATTTTTATATCTATAAATTTATTTATTTTAGGTGGAAAAGAACTTTGAAATATATTTCTTTGGAGTATATTTATAAAAAAAAATAGTGATTATACTTTTTGTCATTTTTTATATTAATATAAGCTATGTAAAGTCAAACGTCTCATTCTATTCGGATAATGTAGCATTTTCCTCGTAAATCTATAACTAAGTCAACGCTATGAAATCCCCATTTATATACGCTTCATCTGTTAATAAAAACAGAGAGAGAGAGAGAGAGAGAGAGAGAGAGAGAGAGAAATATAATACTAGCGAAGCAAACAATGATGAAGGCTTTCTCATCCCTCTTCTTCCTAAGCTATATCCCGCTACCGCCGGCCGTCGTCCTCCTTGTCTCCCTCCTCATCCTTCCGATAACTCTCAAGACTTTCCTTCTCCTCTGGCACAAACCAAAGAAAACAGAGCGTTTCTTCTTTGACCAAGGCCTCCTCGGCCCTCCCTACCGCTTCCTCCTCGGCAACCTCACCGAAATGGTTTCTCTAATGCTTGCCGCCTCCTCCAAGCCCATCACTCCTCCCTTCTCCCACAACATCCTCCCTCGCGTCCTCTCCTTCTACAATCACTGGAACAAAACCTATGGTAATTCGCTTCTCTTCTTCATTCTATATATGTATTACCTCTCCATCTATATAAAAACATTCCGATCGATTCAGGTTCCACGTTTCTCTTCTGGTTCGGCCCGACGCCTCGGCTAGCTGTGGCCGACCCTGAGCTTATCCGCGAGATCTTCATCACGAAAGCAGAGTTCTTTGACCGCTACGAATCCCATCCACTCATTCGGCAGCTCGAGGGCGAAGGGCTGGTTAATCTCAGCGGACATCAATGGGCTTTGCATCGGAAACTAATCTCCCCTGTTTTCCATATCGATAACCTCAAAGTACTTATAGATTTAAACAGCATTTGCTAGCCTTTGCTGCAGCTTTGCCTTTCAAATTTGTAAAAGATGATGCCTTTTTAGATGTTAATGGCTTCAGTGGGGGAGACGATGGTCGGCATTCTGGAAAAGGTTGCGGCGACGGCGGCCGCTAACGGCGGAGAAGGGGGAGTTGAGGTGGATGTAGCAGAGTTGTATCATAGCATGACGGAAGAAGCTGTGACTCGGTCCACTTTTGGGCGTAGTAGCTTCGACGACGGTAAGGTTGTGTTCCAGTTGCAGACGAAGCTCATGGCCTTTGCTGCAGAGGCTTTTAACAGAGTTTTCATCCCTGGCTACAGGTAGTTTAAAACAGAGCAAATTATTAGGTCCGGATACTGGACACAGAGAAAATCACCTGAATTTTTTTCTGTCTATAGTAAAAGTGCAGTCAAAACGTAGCTGCTTCAGTAACTATGCTTTGACTGTATTTTTATTATAGACAGAGAAATCTGAGCGGTTACGTAAAAATTTTCATTAAAACAAAGGGCTAAATTCATTTCAAAACTTTTTTTAATTTCACCTTCTCACCTTTTATTTTTATCCCATCATCTTTTAACCTGACTTTGGCCTAAAATGTATTTAATAATTCTCATTGTATTTTTCAAAATAATAAATATTATAAGAAAAAATCAAAAGTTACTAAATTCTTAATAATAATAACATTATAAATCAATTAAATTAATTAGATAGAGACATGAAATGAAAAGAGTAAAAATATATATATATTTTTTTTAATATGGCAAAAAAATAAATAAAGACCAATTCAGAGCTTCAAAGTTTTGATTTTCTTAATCAAGGTCTGAAATTTTATGATGGAATTTTATAGGTTCTTGCCAACGGTGAGGAACCGGATAAGATGGAAGCTGGACAGGGAAATAAAGGAAAAGCTCCTGAAGTTGGTCAGTTGCCGGAAAGAGGCGGCGGCGGCGGGAGAGGCCAAGTACTTGCTTAGGCAAATGAGTTCACCGGCGGCGGCGGGGATATCTCACAGCGATATCGTTGAGGAGTGCAAGACTTTCTTCTTCGCGGGCAAGCAGACCACGACGAATCTGCTGACGTGGACCACAGTGCTCCTCGCAATGCATCCTGAGTGGCAGGACCGGGCACGTGAGGAACTCCGCCGCGTCTGCGGCGCATGTGACCTCCCCTCCATGGCCGACCTCCCCAACCTCAAGACGGTAACAATTCTTTGTGAAAAAAAAAAATCGCGAAACGTAACGTGTTTTAATGTTCTCTAACGTATCGGAGTTTCGGCGACATGACAGCTGGGGATGATAGTGAACGAGACGTTGCGGTTGTACCCGCCGGCGGTGGCGACGATCCGGCGGGCGAAAGCTGACGTGGAGCTGGGCGGGTATCGTGTCCCGCGGGGTACCGAGATTCTGGTTCCCATCATCGCGGTCCACCATGACGCGGGGCTGTGGGGTCCGGATGCGGAGCGGTTCAATCCGGCCCGGTTCGCATACGGGGCGAGCCGGGCAGCCCGGCACCCAAACGCCTTCATGCCGTTTGGGCTTGGGGAGCGCACCTGCATAGGCCGTGGGCTGGCTGTGCTGGAGGCTAAGATGGGGCTTGCCGCAGTGCTCAGACGCTTTAAGATTCGTGTTTCAAGTAATTATGTTCATGCGCCGACGGTCTTGATGATGTTGTACCCTCAATATGGTGCGCCCGTAATCTTTAGCAGGATTTGTGAGGATAGATAAACAACACAGGATAACCATTCTAGAATTAGTCTTCATTTGCAACAGTTTTTTTATTGCTGTTTTAAAGTAGTTTTTTAGTAAATTTTTTTTTTCTAAAAAATATCTTTAAGAAGTAGTAAGAAAACTGTCTCAAATGAAATCTTAATAATACAATGTATAGTATCCATTATATATAAGATACCACACTTATTTGATGCGTCAAATATTTTACTTTGAGTAGTAAATTTTTATTGATTTTGGACTAAATTATTCGAAATTCAGCTAGCTTTTGTTTAACTCCTTGCAAGATATTTCGACTTCTCAATTGTTGCATGTGAATTTTTAGTTCAACGATAATGAATTAGAACCTAATTATGCAATTGGGTCATCAATAAAATGGCCTTCAATATTATATATATATAATTAGTATAATTTTAAGTCTTGTTGTGTCCTAGAATATTAGCGGGGATAGAGAAATGTAAAGTTTAATGTAAGATTTGTACGAAGATCTAGCACACAATCAGATAAAAGAAATTGTGTATCGTTCAAAATAGACACCAGAGTTTTTACAATCAGATTTATATAAAGATCTAGCACACAATCAGATAAATTTTAGGTGAGGTTCCATTCATATGCTAGTGTAACTCAAACGCATGACCCCTAATTAAGCCATGGACAAGTCACTTTAGTTCCTTCTTTCAACAATAAGAAATTGATTTCATTTCTTTGAAGCTTTATTGTTTTCTGACGTCCACCAACATATTTCATTCTATTTTTGGCCCTTCACCGCACTCCAACATCCACCAAATTTGAAAACAATGAAGCAAAAATTATTTAGATCCATATCTGTGAATGCAAATAACAAGCTATATTACTACCGGAAATTCCACAAATCTATTTAGACAAATAGTTAATCTCATTTGATACATAATTCAAACACTAAAAAGGCATATGCTATCGAACACAATAAATAGTTCTTACCAATTGCAAATAGAAATAGAGAGGTAAATGTCATGCTGCAAGGCAAAATCATCCCCAAGTTATGCATTCCCACTAGACTCCGAAGAGGAATCGAACGAACAATGAAGCCAATCAATTAGCAATCTCACATCCTCCCCCGAATTGTCCCCCACATGATAAATCCAAGCTTCAGGAGATATTAAATTAACTGGAACATCAACAAAGGAGCCAGGAAATATAACAGCATGCGTCGCAAGGGAAGAGACAGCGGGGGCAATACTCTTTGATATCGAAACAGAGGAATCAGATTTCTCAGCAAGCACACAAGGAACCTCAGCCGAAACCAAGTCACACAGGACAGGCACAGAAGTAGCACACGACATAATAGGTTGCAGATTAACGTCTCAATTACCACCCCCAGGTAATTCTAACGTGACAATTACCACCCCCATAATAACATGGTTTGTTGAGGCGGAGGAGCTTGGAGCAACTTTGTATGACGTGCTTCAAGTGACAGCAACGATGAAATGGAGAAGGCAAAAAATAAACCTACAAGATGCATGTCTAGTCAGTTTTGATAGAATAGATCGATGTTGCAGTCCTGATTTATTTACAAGTTTACCCTAAATATTGATAATGATATTTTAAAAATTGACATTGATTTTTTAATTTGCATCAATTAATCTTACTTTTTCTTCTATATATACCCATGATACTGCACCAGAAATAGAATATAAATTTCCTTAGAAAAAAATTATTAAAATAAGATGCCTCATTTTAAGAAATTCACAATTTTTTTCAGGTAATTTATTTTAAAATAAAATAGCTTTGTTCATAATATACCTATTTTTAAAATGAAATATCTTAGTGAATCAGACGCACACAAAAATGAAACCATTAATTTGATTGATTTAAAAAAATAATCCTTCAATTATTATATAAATAATTGACGCGACATGAATTAAAAATAAAATAAATTTAATTATAAAATTCCTAATGAATAGCTAAACTATTTCTTCTCATATGAAGAAAATTCCTAAATTATTTTAATTCGCTTATTTGTCACTATCGGAGATATGTCTCACGTAAAGTTCTTACGTGATGAACTGAGTCTTTATATAATAATTATTGTAGAATATGTCGAGTGCTGTGCGTTGATAATTTATGATTCAGGAATGCCAACGTAACAAGACAACACATACATAATAATTGGAGAAAAGTTGTTTGATTTTTAGATATTTATTTTTACGCTATTATTACTTTGTTTATCTTCCCCTTTCCAGTTACAAAAATTCAAGCAGGGTGTCAAAATAGATTTTCGGATCAAATTCAGGTCATATTCGAAACTGAATTGTCTTCAACTAATCCAACCTGAATATGATTTGATTAGACATGGATCATAAATCTAAAACCGGACCCGACCAATCCCTAAGCTGAGTTGAGCTGACCTAACATGCTAACCCGGATGAGCGTGGTTGTGTCGGTGAATACGTACGAAATTGCGAGCGAGCAAACAGGCACAACTGCTTGAACAAGAGAACAGGTGCATGGAGGCAAGCGGGTTTGAGCGGGCCAGAAGGCATGTGTGGGCATTAAGTATCTTACAATCATTTTACCATCTTTATAGCACATACAAAAATAAAAAGCTACCAACAATGAACACTATGTTAGGATTTTCCTTTAATTCTCTCTGAAATCTTTGCTTCTTTTAGTCTTTTTTTTTTTTAATCTCATGAGCTCTGTGTCTCACAGGACACCTAGAGCTTAAAAAGAGAGGGAGTTTCTATACACAATGACAATTTATTTATACCACATTCATTTTCTATCAAAAGATATTTTCACCTAGCCATCCTACTTGCCATGTTCTTCTTACACATTAAAAAAAAAAAAAAAATTGTTCTTCTTACACATTATCTTTTTTTATTCTTTTAATATATTTTTTAATTTTTTTATAATTTTTTTGAAGTTGAGTTTTTAATTTTCTATCTTTAGAAGTTGAGTTTTTCTTTTTAAATTATTCCATTACTTTATTAACTTTAAAAAATTTTATTTTTAAAAAACTTTATTGCTTATTTTTTTATTCTAAATACTTGCTATATATTGTCTCTTTCTCAGTCATAACATATCCATCACTTTGCCTTCATTCTTTTTATTTTTGGTTAATTGCTGTCGTAACTTTTATGTTTATATTAATATATTAGTTTTGTTTAAAATAAAAAAAATAAAAAAAAGCAGATGCAACAAAAACAAAAATAACTTTTTTTTAAGCCAAGAAATAAATAAATATATTGCACAAATGTGGACTTAGGTTTCATTTGGGAGATCTTTTTGCACACTTTTTTTCGTTATTTTTTTTTATTATTTGAACTAAAAAGTTGCTTTAAAAAATAGTAAAAAAACTGCCCAAATAAACTCTAAAATTTTATTTAGAACAGTTTTCTTATTACTTTCTAAAAAAATGCCAGAGAGTTATTAGTATTTTTGTAATTGCAGTATTCTTTTATGTAAAACAAATTCCCACATTATTTTTAATTATATCAATCATGCTCATAAATTTTTAAGCATTCTAAACAAAGTTAACTGATATTTATAGCAACGGTGTTTCATTAAGCATTCAAATAATATCTATCAACCAACCTTAAGTTAATCTGTTTGGGTCAGTTATGTTTTTAATCTCTCTTGAATAAGGCTTCGTTTGGGACGGTTTTCTTACTGCTTCTTAAAGCACCTTTTTAGTATGAAAATTTTAATTTTTAAACTAGAAAGATGTTTTAAGAAGCAATAAAAAAGTTATCCTGAACGAAGCCTAAGGCTTCGTTTGGGGCGGCTTTCTTACTACTTCGTTTGGTGTCATTGGGTTCGTATTTCCAAGAAGATCAGTTTGACTGTAAGTTTGCCGAAATCAGAGATCAGATGAACCCAGAATTAATTTTTGAAGTTTCCAACTTGATTTTTGCCTCGAGATTCGCGCCCGATCAAGATATTTGATAGTTTTCTTATCAACTCAAGTTCATGGCAGTGTTTAACAAATAGGTTGAATGGTTAATTACAAAGTGAGAACATAATATCTAACAAGTTCAAAGTGCAACTATTTTAAATTTAACCAATCATTCATCTGATTCTCATCCTGTTTCTTTATGCAAGTGTGGTTCTCATAAACAATGGCGAAGCCAAGAATTCTTTTTAGTAGGGGCATAAATAGTTTTTTTTTCAAATATTCTCGACATTTACTTTATACAAATTTGAGGTCAACATTAATTTATCATGATGATATTATGATTATAAATAAATAATTGATGCGACATGAATTAAAATTAAATTTAATTTAATTGTAACATTCCTAATGGATAGCTAAACAATTCCTTCTCATATGAAGAAAATTCCTTGAGGGAAGCACAATTTGACCTATTCATTAGTTTTAATTACTTGATTAGTATTCGTCTAAGTTATTTTAATTCGCATATTTGTCACTATTATTATTTTATTTATCTTCTGCTTTCCACTTGCTAAAAATTCAAATAGGGTGTCAAAATAAATTTTCGGATCAAGTTCGGGTCCAATTCTAAATTGTTCTTCTTTCAACTAATTCGCCCCGAACCCAATCCAATTAGATAAACAGGTTACAAGTTAAGACGGGACCCGCCCCGCCCCTAAAAGGAGTTGAATTGGCTTGACCTGCTGGCACGGTCGAGTGTGGTTGCGCTGGTGAGTGTGAAACTGCGAGCAAGCGAGTAAGAGCAGCTGCTTGAGCAAGCAAGCTAGCGCGTGCGGGTCAGCGAGTGTGAGGGGGCTAGCAAGCAGGTGTGGGTGAGGGGGCTTGAGTAGGCGAGCAACCGAATGGGAGTAAAACCATGACAAATGGACCAACGGACGTGCGGCAATGGACAGATTGTGACCTGAGGACGATCATTATGGTTGAGCAGGACTATGCGACGAGCGGGTCAGATCTTAGTTGATTTTGGTTTTCGAATTGACCGAACCCTACACTAATTTGCAATCGGGTCAATATTTGAAACCCGTCCCAGACCTATTTTCCCAAGGGTTGAGCCGAACCTGAAATTTTTGGTTGGGTTCAAATTGAATTTTCGGGTCATGTCAAATATTGATGCCACTAAATTCATAAATCTTTTAATTTTAGAATATCATTATAATATTATATATTCAGCAATGA